ACTGGAATATAAACCTGCACCTTCTTCACACACACACACACATCATAAACATTTAAACGGACTTCTCTTGAACATGTGCAAAAAGGAGAAATTGCTGGAAAAATCTCAACAGCTCTTGGCAACACCTCTGGAGAGAAATCAGAGTTAACGTTTCAGGGCCGGTGCCCTTTCTGCTTTTGTTCATGTTCAAGTGTGAATGATAATTCGTCTCTCCCGAAGAGAAAAAAGAAAGGTCCATTTAAAAGTTTATGGTCTTTGCAAACGTTTCTTTTGAAATCGAGAAAATGCTGGCAGCACTAAAGTGTAAAACGGGCGAGAAAGCAAAGTGGAGAAATGCACAGAAGATAGAGAAAGAAGGAAAGTGGCTGCAAATAAAATACATGCTAAGCTGTCGTAATTGCGAAAATACTCCAGCTCTCCCCGGCGGGGAATTGAACCCCGGTCTCCCGCGTGACAGGCGGGGATACTAACCACTATACTACCGAGGAACTGACATACTCCAGCCTCGATTATTCTATACTTAATTAATCTGTTCCCTACAATGTACATTCTTTTGTGTTCTGTACTTTCATTCATTTGTAGACGCACACATCTGTCAACTTGGTACTTCATACCAAGTCTTATATCACTGTGATCTGCTGTCAGGAGTTTGCAAACGTCTGTACTGTGGCATAAATGCAATGTGAAAAATAAAACAAACTTGGGGCCTGAAATTTCACACTTCCTACCCATACACATTTCGTTACCAAGTTTGTTTTTTTTTTGTCGCATTGCATTTATTCCACAATGCAGATATTTGCAAACTCCTGATGGCAGATCACAGTCAACGCAAAGGTGAAAGGAGCCATAATTAAAGGGTTTTAGCATTCTGACACAAGAGCATCAACTTGAAATGTGAAATCTCCTTCTTGCGTCCACAGACACTGTCAGAACGGCTGTGCATTCCCAGCATTATCTGTTGTCTTTAAGTCAGATTTTTCAATACTACACTGCTGATAATTAAATACTACAAACAGTCCAACAAATGCATTTATTATACTATTTGTAGAGCAGCAGAAATTTCCTCCAGTTAAAGATGTTGGATCAGAGGAACATCCATCAAACCATTGAAGCAGGTTAATAAAGTATCCAAGATCCAACACCTTATTAATTAGCAATGCCAAGTTCAAAACCTTGAAGCTATGACAAACTTGTGTAAAACACTGGTTCAGTTTCAACTCAAGTATTGAGGGGAAGGTATAGGGGTCTGAGCAATGCTGGGTATGGCAAGGTGTGTGTGGCAGAATTGGGAGAGATGTCTGATGAGGCCCATTTTGACATCGACTTCATCTTGCCCCACCTATTATTATGTGTTTCACGAGCAGGGTGGTGAGATACTTGCTGGTCAGTAGCAAGATGCCAAATGATGGCGACTACTGCTTGTTTGGCTCCTTGTAAAAAGCCCAACCTGTCTCATTAGTATTCCAGTTACGATCTCACCAAACTCACACACCAAACTAGACCTTGAGAAAATTTGACGCAAAAATCGGAATGGGTACCCTGCAAATTCACCTTGCCGCTTGCTCCAAAAGACGTCTACGTTGGACACTGGGCCCAACAACTCAGGAAACACTCCATGGGCACTGGCCATATGCCCAGCCTATGTCCACGGACATTGGCATCTGACATGTGCCAGACTCAAAGGACCTTCGTGGGATGTCTCTGCTCCACTCACAGGTAGCTACCTCACTTAATTGCTGCACCTCGGACTTGTACAGAGAGTCATAGAGTCACACAGCATGGAAACAGACCACTTGGTCCAACTCGTCCGCACCAACCAAGGTTCCCAAACTAAACTAATCCCATTTGCCTGCATTTGGCCTATTTCTCTCTAAACCATTCCTATTCATGTACCTATCTAAATTTCTTCATTAAGTCCTTAACTGTGAACAGCACTTCTTTTGCCTGTTTGCACTAGAACTAAATATTAAGAGCAACAGTAGCCATATTGTACACTCTGCCATCTTAAGTATAATTGCACCAAAAGTATTTAAATCCATACTTTTGTAAATGTCACAAGGAACTCTTTAGGCCAGAGAAATTTTCAGCTCAGTTTTGGGAGAAAGAAGGATGAATGCTGCAGCAAGGACACTTTGTGTTCAGCGACATGCTCCCAGCGCCTGGATTTAAGCTGCATCTCCAGCCTGTTCCCTCATTGCCATTGTGTTCACTTACTCGTCTGCCTGCATGCTCACAGCATCCCTACCTTGCATTGCCTTGCTTTTGTGCCCTTTGGTTCCTCAGCCAGAGGTAACAGGCTCATCTTACTGATGCCTTGCTATGACATTCAGTGCAGACATAAAATCAGGAAGCTTGTCATGGCTGTCAGCAGGCCTCAATCAAGTCAAGGCTTTCGCTGAGGGAATCCAGCACCAGTAAATCAAAGTCAGCCTCTGATACCTGGACACAGTCAGTCAGCAACGTGAGGCGGTCAAAGTCAGGATGCTCTCCACATAAGAGGTGAGAGCCAAACACCAGGCAGTCCACCACCAGTCTTCACTCTTTCTGCCCTCTTGTGGTCTGTTTGCCTCTTTGACTAAAAGTTAAGTAGCTGTTCCAGAACATGAACATCAGTGGGCGGATATTACTGTTGGTGTATGTGGGGAGTTGCTCCGAGCAAGTGAGTAAGCAGCTCAGAGAGCATGCAGGGTTAATGGTGTTGCAGCTCGGGGTGGGTGTGGGCAACTGCAGGCAATAGTGAGAGTAGAAGAGCATGACCCTTTGTGGGAAGTGGGTACAGTATCAGAAGTAGAGTGAGTATGAGGTATCAGTAAGAAAACAGGGCACTTACACAGGCAGAATGAAAAATGTCATTGACCTCTTCTGACAGGATTGTCATTCCTCCAGACTTCTGAGGTTGCTTTGCTCAAGTTGCAGGTACCCAGGTTATCCTCTCTTTCATACCAAGAGAGCTTTTGCTGTTCAGCTACAACATACAGAAACAGAACTCAACTCCATCTCACCACCACTTATCTCGATTATCACTGTTTCTAAATTATCAGATTGCCTATCCAATATCCAGCAGTGAATCAGCAGGAATTTCCTCTTGTTATAATTAGAAGGACTGAAATCATTATCTTCCATCCCTGACACAAACTCTATTCCCTTGCTATGACTCCATTCCTCTCCCTTGCAATTCAATCTGATTGTTCATAACCTTGGGTTGTACTTACCCTCAGATTGGCTTCCAACTAGATAGTGATATGCTTACAAATATGGTTCTAGAGATGAGACACTTTGGTTATTAGGAAAGATTGGAGAAGTTGGGACCATTTTCCTTGGATGGGAAAAGGCTAAGAGAAGATTTGATAGAAGTTTTCAAAATCATGATGCATAAGGATTGAGTAGGTAGGAAGAAACTATTCAGGCTGATAAGAGACTGAGAACCAAAAGGCACAGTTTTATTGTGCCTTGTGAAAGAGCAAATTACCTCAACAATTGTATGATTCTATGATCCATGCCATCACTACAAACATCTATTTCCACATCTGTAACTTCACGTGACTTCACCCCACCTCCGCTGATCTGCTGTTGAAATCCTCATCTATATATATTTGTCACTTTCAGAACTGACTAATGTGCTCTAGTTTCTAACTGAAAGATTATCAACCTAATAAACTGTTCCACTCTACATTTGTGTTACAGAGCATTTCCAGTATGTAATGGCATCCTAGATTTCCAGCAACCACACCATTTTACTTTTGTTGATATTCGATTTCAACCAGTTGGATTGTGGCAGAGTAACTGCTGAAGTGCCAATTGGGGATAGTTTGCTGAGGAACAAAAACAAAGTTGCTGGAAAAGCTCAGCAGGTCTGGCAGCATCTGTGGAGGAGAAAACAGAGTTAACGTTTTGGGTTCGGTGACACTTCCTCAGAACTAAATTGTTCTGAGGAAGGCTCACCGGACCGGAAACGTTAACTCTGTTTTCTGTTCCACAGATGCTGCCAGACCTGCTGAGCTTTTCCAGCAACTTTGTTT